TGTGTGGTGGGTACGTTTCTTTTTGGGGCAGCGTGCCCCCCAGCCGGTCGATAAACGTCGGCCGATCGGACGAGGGGTGAAGCAGAGAATCCGGCACCATCTCCAGGTCTCGCATCTCATCGCCTGCCAAGCCAAGGGAAAGCCGCTCAGTCAGGATCCAACGGGGGAGGGGCAAACAGGGAATCGTTCTCAGGTGAGGAGGGGGGACCCCTCTTGTTCTCCCCAGTGGCGTGTCCCGCCAAAGGAGAAATTCCCCTGGCTCTTGGCTCTGCAGCTGCCCTGCCCCGCGGGGAAGTCGACCTTCTCCCAAGCAGAGCTTTCTGGACTAGGGGCCAGAGACCCGCTACTGCCAACCGAGCCTCCACGGACAGCGCTGTGGTAACACAGCATTGAACCCTCGTAGACGGAGCGCTGCAGGGGAAGGATGGGCCTGGGGTGCTTCTCAGGTGGCCTTCCCCCCTGCTCCCAGCGCGGCACCTGATTCACACTTGGCGCTGTGTTGAATCTGGCTTGCAAAGGCCTCCGCAGAGCCCTTCCCTTCCTGTGGCTGCGAAGCACTAAGTACGTTTCTGGCAGCCTAGAAACAACAATGATGGTGCGGAAAATTCGAACTCGAGGCTGACAGAAGTTCAGACAAACTGGCCTGTTTGCTACCGTCCCGTGCGGCGTCAGATCTGCCATCTGGCCAGGGGACTATCCTGCCCTGGCTGGGGAGAGCCCAGGAGCAGGTCCTGGGGATCTGCCAAAAGGGAACTTGACGGAAAGCCGCCTGCGCGACTAAAGCACCCTAACGCTCCGCTTCGACGGCCCGTCAGCCAGGTTGGGCTTCGCGCGCAGGCCGGGACTGTGCCAGCATTAGGGCTGCTTTCTTTTCTTTGAGCCAAGGTGCGGAGGTTGTACTAGCCAGCTCAGTTTCGGTTCCACAGAGCTGACAGAGGCACGCCCACACCACCAGTGCCTGGGCAGGCTGGCATCCTGGGGACTGGTGTGTGAAGGAGAGCGCTCCGGAGGGGCCGTCCGGGGAGCTAAAGGAGCTGGGCCCCCTGCTTGAGGCTGTGAGGTTGCAGAGCACAGCTGGTCTGGGACTGATCCATTTGGGGATGTTTGTTTGCAAGCCCCCGGCTTTGCACGGCTCAACCCTTCGCTTACCAAGTAACAGGAAGTAAGAACAGCCAGGCTGGGTCAGACCAAAAGCCCATCTAGCCCTGTATTCTGGGGGTCCAACGGTGGCCAGTGCCAGGCACTTGGATGTAAGCCAAGTTCCATTCGCTAGCCTCCCCCGTTCCGGGAGTCCCCATTTCACAGCTCGGGAAAAGAAAGGGGAAGGGACGTGTCCCGATTCTCAAGTCGGCGGTGAGCTGGGCACAGACCCCGCATCCACACGCCCAGTCTCCTACTCTGACCACTAGCCCACATGCCTTCCACAGCCAGGAAGAGACGTCCCCAGTCTTGACTCTCCCTCCTGCTCGAGCCACTAGCTGTCCCTGCCATGGCCGAGTACTGACCTGGCTGGCTGGCCAGCGATGGGGGCTCAGTGTTGAGACTCTGCAGGTAGTTGTGGCAGCGCTCCTTGTGCTCCTCCAGCGTGCTCTGCTGCTTGTAGCTCCGGCCGCAGTAGTTGCATTTGTAGGGCTTGCCGACTGTGGGGGAGGAGACTGGAAAAAATGAAAACACAGATCCTGGCCATCAAAACAGATACTACCCGGAAGCCGTCATGGCGACATGCAGGCCAGCCACGTGCGTTGCAGCAGCTGGGGCGGGTGAAGGGCGGAACGTGTCTGGGATGGAATCGGACAGGCCCACGGAGCAGGCGGAAACCGACGTGCCGTGGTGAATCAATGCAGCATGGCTGACCTAGGCTGCAGACTGGACAAACCCTTCTCGCAAACTCCAAAGGGGCCCTTCAGGCAGCTCTCCGCCTCTGCACGTTAGATCCGTAAGAGCTTTTCTAAAACACTGTCACTCGTCTGTACAGTGCGCCATTTCCAGGGCTGGCGGTAGAACCCAGCAGCCACCCCGCCCCAACCATGTGCAATCATATCAGCCCACCACAGTGTTACTAAATATATTCGAGTGACTTCAGTCTGAGTGGATCCCACTCCCCCTTGCTGAAGGGCTCCCTCCTCCCAAGCAGTCTTCGCACAACGAGGTGTCAGATGTGTCTGGGGAGGCGGGGGGAAGATCTGAGCATCTGGAAGGCGGATTTAAGACACAAGCCTCCGAGCCGTCCTTTACCAGCACGATCTCTGTGGCGTGTCCCTTCTAGGTGCCCAGCCGCCCTGTCCTTCGGCTCTGGTGTAAATGCAGCTGGCTTGCAGCGTTGGACCCCGGAACCCAGGGCAGTACTTACAAGTGCTGCCCCAGCCCTGCTGGAAATCCCCAATGCTTTGTCCCATGTCCGCACACGCCTGCTGGGCCTGGGCAGCTCTCCACAGAAGAGTCAGCTGTTTGCAACTGACTGCGGTGGAGAGCCGGTAGGTTCTGAAAGCACTGAGTACGATAAGTGCTTAGGGATGGGGACGGGGCAACACTCGCATCTCTGCCGATTTTCCCGCCGATGGCTCTCAGGTTCGGCTGCTCTGTCCTGCTCGGTTAGGGTCAATAGACCCAGCAGAGCCACTAAACATTATGGGGCCACACTAGCCGATCACCGGACAGGTCGCACTGATGACTCAGTTTGGAATTTTTCATCAGCTGAACACCCTCCAGAGGTAGATGGATTTACAGATATAACCGGTACACCCCTGCAGGGGCAAACAGCCGTCCTAGGTACCTGTACACCCCTGCATGGGCAAACAGCCATCCTAGGTACCATTACACCTCTGCAGGGGCAAACAGCCGTCCTAGGTACCTGTACACCCCTGCATGGGCAAACAGCCATCCTAGGTACCATTACACCTCTGCAGGGGCAAACAGCCGTCCTAGGTACCTGTACACCCCTGCATGGGCAAACAGCCATCCTAGGTACCATTACACCTCTGCAGGGGCAAACAGCCGTCCTAGGTACCTGTACACCCCTGCATGGGCAAACAGCCATCCTAGGTACCATTACACCTCTGCAGGGGCAAACAGCCGTCCTAGGTACCTGTACACCCCTGCATGGGCAAACAGCCATCCTAGGTACCATTACACCTCTGCAGGGGCAAACAGCCGTCCTAGGTACCTGTACACCCCTGCATGGGCAAACAGCCATCCTAGGTACCATTACACCTCTGCAGGGGCAAACAGCCGTCCTAGGTTTGCCAAACCCTGAGCGTCCGTTGCCGTCTGTACTGAGGACAGGGCAGTGCTTTTGCATTATTTTATGACAACGTGCTGCATTTTGATGAATCCTGGGCACCTCAGACCAGCCATAAACAGAGCTGCACTGTGCGAGGCATTGTACAAACAGAGCAGAGGACAGGAAAACTTGGTCTTCACAAACAAGGCCCAGGGGGATATAGACACAAGCAGAGCAATCAATGTGACAGCAGCAAACGTCCACTGGGGGAGGGGATGTTTGACAGGCAGGGATACGCTCAGTGGAAGGAAAGGTGAAGGGAGAAGGGGGGGGGGGGGGGGGCAGATGTGGAGCTGAGGCGGATGCGAATCCTGCAGTTAGATGTAATGCGCCTTTTGCGACTCATTCGCTCTTAGCAGCGACACTCAAAACCTTTGATCCCCCCACGTGCGGGACAAGGGCTGAGAGATCACATGTGTTTGCTCTCAGAGGAAGCCGGACGCGGCCCAGACCCTGCGCTGCTGCGGTAGGGACGACAGAGGCTATTTATTATGCCCATCCCGAGGGTGATTTTGGCCACTGATTGCCCTGGTAGGAGCTGCTCTGCCCTGGCAAAGAGCTGGACCCTCCAGGCTTTCCGACAAAGATGTTCTAGGGAGCTTGGAACTTCCCTAAACCCTTTGACACTTGTTCTAGGTAAGGGGTAGCCATCCCAACGCTCCACATGCCGGACGAGGCCTGTGCTCTGGAGCAGCGGGGGGACTGTTCGCTGCTGGGTGGCATGGTACGTTGGAACCAGCGCCCACCAAGCATGGTGGCGACAAGCCGCCTCCCCGTGTCACAGCTGAAGACCCTGAGGTTATGCAGCAAGTCAGCGGCGAAGTGAGGACAGAACACGGGAGAACGTTGCCAAATGCTCGGCCAGAAAGGGAAGCAAGATGGGGGGGAGCAAACAGTGCACAGCTATCGAACTAGAAGACCCCACGATCTACAAAGGTGAAGGTGAACCAGGGGAAAGTGTGAGGTCTAATGCACACAGCGAGGGCCTGCGAGCCAGGATTCCTGGGTTCCCTTTTAGGCAAGGGCCACAGTCTCATTCTGCTTTGCAGTCTACCTCTCGGAAGCGGTGCAGCATGCACAGGGGTGGGAGAGGGAAAGCGTCCCTTTGCTAAGCCAGCTCCCAATTCCGGCCCCGTCTGCGAGACGCTAGAGCCCTGCCAGCGTTCTCCGAACCGCCCATAGGAAGTGCCTGCGTGGAACGAAACTGCCGCTCATCAGATACGGTAGCGTCTGCGTCACAAATGCACCATCTTGGGGTCGGAGGCTCTGGCGGAGTTTTTCCTCGCTGAAACCACCATGGCTCAGAGCTGCCCAACCCAAGCTTTTTGAGTCACATTACAAAAAAAATGGTTATTTGTTTTGCTCCGTGTGGTTTAACCTTTAACTACTCTGATTTTTCAAGAAAAAAAAAAAAAGTAGTTTGCCCCTCATCTGCTCACGTAGCTGGAACTTTAGCATTTCAAGTTTTGCACTCTCATAAAAAATAATGCATCATCACTTCCTATGTATAGAACGCCTTTCATTGGAAGGCCTCAAGGTGCTTCGCACACCTTGGGTCAGCCTCAAGTTTCTGGGACCTGGGAAACTGACACACGGAGCTAGCAAAGGAGGTCAGCGCATCAATGGAAGGACTGGCGATTGCTAGTCCTCTGCTACACCCCTCCAAGTCTCAAGGCAACAGGAGAAGAACCTAGAGTCATGCTACCCAGTTCTCCAACAGGAAAAAGATCCTAAGAGAATACATCCTAGGGTTCCTCATTTCGCTCTGAGTGGGAACACTGTATAAGAACATAACATAAGAACGGCCGTACTGGGTCAGACCAAAGGTCCATCTAGCCCAGTATCCTGTCTGCCGACAGTGGCCAGCACCAGGTGCCCCAGAGAGGGTGGACCGAAGACAATGATCAAGCAATTTGTCTCCTGCCATCCTTCTCCAGCCTCTGACAAACAGAGGCCAAGGACACCATTTTATCCCCTGGCTAATAGCCTTTTATGGACCTAACCTCCATGAATTTATCCAGCTTCTCTTTAAACTCTATTCTAGTCCTAGCCTTCACATCCTCCTCTGGCAAGGAGTTCCACAGGTTGACAACACGCTGTGTGAAGAAGAACTTCCTTTTATTAGTTTTAAACCTGCTACCCATTAATTTCATTTGGTGTCCTCTAGTTCTTCTATTATGGGAACTAATAAATAACTTTTCTTTATCAGCCCTCTCCACACCACTCATGATTTTATAGACCTCTATCATATCCCCCCTCTTGCCTTGGGGGTAAGGGTGGCAACTAACTGACCTGCAAGTGCAGTATCTATAGCGGGGCTCACAAGCCAGAAGAAATACACCTATATAGTCTTAGCTGCTAGAACCACATCCTTGTTCTGCATTCGGTACATTTAAATTCTAGCCAGAGAGCTGAAATCATCTTTGGTCCTTTCCCATTCTTTATGAAATGCTCCACATTACTGCTGTGGCCCCAGGTCGTGGGTTACCGGTCAAATCTCTCACACTGTTGCACCTTAGTTCCAAGATGCCAAGGATTTTACATCCCTATCTTGAATGATCTAAACATCAAAAAGGAGTCCTACAGAAAGTGGAAACTAGGTCAAATGACAAAGGATGAATATAAACAAGTAACACAAGTACACAGGGGCAAAATTAGAAAGGTGAAGGCACAAAACAAGCTCAAACTAGCTAGAGGCATAAAGGGTAACAAGAAAATATACTATAAAAATATATTAGAAGCAAGAGGAAGCCCAAGGACAGGACAGGAGCATTACTCAACGATGAGGGAGAAACAATAACAGAAAACGTGGAAATGGCAGAGATGCTTTATGACTTCTTAGTTTCAGTTTTCACCAAGAAGGTTGGTAGTGATTGGGCGCCCAACATGGTGAATGCCAGTGAAAATGGGGTAGGTTCAGAAGCTAAAATGGGAAAAGAAGAAGTTAAAAATTACTTAGACAAGTTAGATGCCTTCAAGTCACCAGGGCCTGATGAAATACAACCTAGAATATTCAAGAAGCTGACAGGAAATCTGAGCCATTAGCTATCTGAAAACTCATGGAATACGAGATTCCAGAAGACTGAAAAAGGGCAAATAACGTGTCCACCTATAAAAACGAAAATAAGAACAACTCGGGAATTACAGACTAGTCAGTTTATCTTCTGCGCCAGGAAAGATAATGGAGCAAATAATTAAGGAATCCATCTGCAAACATCGAAAAGATAATAAAGTTATAAGTAACAGTCAGCATGAATTTGTAAAGACCAAATCATGTCATACCAAGCCGATAGCTTTCTTTGATAGGAAAACAAGCCTTGTAGATAAGGGGGAAGTGGCAGATGTGTGGCCCAACCCCAACCCCCCATTCACTCT